CCCCACGTTCAGGCACCCGTCCTATCCTCACCACATGCTCCCTCCCTTCCTCCCCATCACTTGCTCAGGGGTACTCCTCCCTCCTCCTCGCTGAATTCAAGTACGGCGGGGAGGTAGCCGAAACCTTCGGGCGCGTCATCGACCAGGCGGAACCTCGCTGGGCCTTCCTACAGCTGAAGAAGCACGTCTTCCCCTTTGCGTATTGGGAATTGTTCTTGCGAGGCCGGTGGTTCGGGACGCGGGGCGTCATTCCTCCGTCGTTTGAGTGAGGCTGAGGGTTAGGGAAATCATGAGGGGAGAGGGTGAGGAGGAAGGAGGGAGGGAGGGAAAGAGGATGGAATGGAGGGGAGGAGAAATTTGAGAGAGGGAGGGAGGATAGAAGAGGAGGTGTGCAGCGGTTTATGGAAGCCTAAAGGCGGTGAATAATTTATAAAGAGACATGAATGAAGGAGGAACGAAAAGAAAGGGAAGGAAGGGAGGGCGATGGCTAAGTGGTGTTGTAGCCTGAAGATGACAGGGAGAAAAAAAATGGAACGGTGGTGACGGGAAGGAGTTTACCATCACTTTCCCTTTTCTTTTCTAGTCTTCTATCTCGCCCTAGTCAAATTAACCCCATCAACGTTCGTTTCGCAACGCATAAATTTGTCGTGAAGAGAGCTTGCCTCACGACGAGTGCTGCACTTGAAACATAATGAAGTCGCAATCAATGTACGGCAGAAACATTTTTGCATGAGCAGCCGATAACTAGTAATCGTGATATGACTGCAGACAGGGAGTGCTGGCGACGCATGCGTTGTCCACATGATCGGACAGCTTTGCAAATACAAATGGAATGGAACAAACTATCTCCGAGTCGTCCCTTCTATCGATACACATTATGTGTATGACCGTATACGACGGAATATTGTCTGTTCAAGGGACTGGGATAATGTTTCTTTCAAAGTTTGCTTCCTGTCCCTCCAACCTCCTGCTGTGGACGGAGGACAGAGGCCATGGCTGAGTGAAGATGGATGCCCTTTCTTGTGAACTTAGACGCAACAGAGCGGCATAAGTGGCGGGTGTCTTGCGCATTGCTGGTACAAAGACATGATTTTCTCCTGACTCGCGTATGAAATGCTGATGTCACGTAGACTACCTCGTTGGACGGGGGGGGCGCTTCTCGCACAGACGAAAGAGCAGTTATGAAAGGGCTCAGGAGCACACCAGTGTTACGGCAAAAACGAATGACCATCTCACGCTACCCTTCATTAAAATTATTCTTCATGATAGGGTCCAGCCCTCCATAAAATGGCGCGGCACCGGCGGAGAGAGGACCGGGGGTCTCCCTCCATCTTCCCTTCGAGCTCGGCTTTCCTCCTCTTTCTCTCTTGCCTTTGTGACAATTCTCGCGCTTTCTGTCTTTATCAAAGACCAGCACACCATTTTACCTCCTTCTTGCTACATGGGCGACAACCTCTCTCTTCCTTCCCCCTCGCCTCCTCCTTCTCCCCCTCCGCCTCCCTCCCTACCTCCTCTCTGGCCTCCTCCACATCCCCTGCGGAGCAACTTGACAACGTGCGCGAGACCATCCAAGTGCGGTTTATCAACACGCCAGACGGAAGCGATGTGGTCACCACGGCACAAGAGGGAGACAATTTGATGAAGGTAGGAAGTAGGGGGGAGGGAACGGCGGAGAAGGGCATGGGCCACCGTTTCGCCTGCAACTAAGTTCGTTCCGTGCATTGATCTTCCTCCAGAGAAGACCGGTTTTTGCTCACGATGGAAGTATGTCCTCACAAGACTGGCATTGTCGCCTGTTGTCGCCTTTCCATGCCCTGACCTTCGCGCCCCTTACAAGATGTCTCCCTCCCTCCCTCCCTCCAAACCCTTCTTTCCTCCCCAACTCCCATTACCCCTCCTTTCCCTGTCAGGTCGGAGACAAAGCGGGCATCTCCATCCCTCGAGCCTGCTGCACGGGCCTCTGCGGGACCTGTACCAGCGATTTGCGAGACCCTTCCTATACGTTCAAGGGGGAAGACAAGCCTGCCGGCGCCCGCGAAGGCTATCAGACCATCCGCGCGTGCTCCACGCAGGTGACTTCTCCCTCCCTCCCTTCCTCCCTCTCTCCCTTCCTCCCTCCCTCCCTTCCTCCCTCCCTCCCTTTCCCTCCCCCTCTCTTGCCCTCGATCCTTGCTCTGGTACGATTTTGTTCTCCCAGCCTCTCGCACGACGTCTCAGCAGTGGAAAGGAGTATGCCTATATCCTCCACCGTGCTCCCTGTCATCATTCCCACCGACATTACTCAAATACCAAGGACCCCCACC